AGACGCTCTTATCCAGAGCGACTTAGTTAGTGAGTGCATAAATTTTTCATACTGGTCCCGTGGGAATCGAACCCACAACCCTGGCATTGCAAGCGCCATGCTCTACCAACTGAGCCACACGGGACTAAGTAATGGAAATAAAAGTGCCGATAACATGTTAGCTCACTATTTTTTAAAAGACTGTGATAAGCTATAGGATGAAAAATACTGGAGTTTTGGTGCAGCTACAGCCAATTAATTTTGAATTTTTTACAAGTTGATACTTTGAGTCAAAGTATTGATATAATAATGTCATCCAAAAATATTGCGATATGCAACTGTATCGATGTCCCTCCCCCCATCACTAATACAAGGGCCAACCATTCTCTCTCTCGCTCTCCTTCTATCTCCTTCGATCTTATCGCTCCTTTCAGCTCTGTTATTCCCTATCCCCTCTCTCTTTCTCGCCCTGTTCATCTGTCTATCCCCCCCACTCGCTCTCTCTTCTCATTTCTCTTCTGTCACTAGAAACACACACACACACACAGTGAAAAGTTTTCCGAAGCTCCTTGTCTTGTTTCCCAAGGTCTTGTTAGAGCAGCAAAGCCCCAGTGGAATATCATAGCTCCGTGTGTTGAAATTTTAATCAAAAGGAAATGGGGCGGCACAATCTCGCTTCCTCTTAGCAGGATCTGCACAGATGGACTCGTCGGTCCTCGTCAGTGCAGAGGGGAAAGGCTCTCGCCGTGACATTTTGAGAGCGGCTCTCTTGAACTGAGGCTTGATCTCGGCTCCTGGCTCAGTACAGGAAGTGTGGCAGCGAGTCTAAGCTGGTGAATAATAAGGTTACCTGTCTGTCAGAGATGAATTTCTCTACTTGCTTTGTGTGTCTGTAAGGATAAAGTAAATCTCAACATACAGCGGCAGCAGGATCGGCAGATGCACAGTGAGACATTCAGAGCAAGATATAATGTAGACTAGGCTGAGTGTACAAAACATTAGGAACACCTAGGGCTGTTGCGGTGACCGTATTACCGCCACACCGACGGTCACGAGTCATGAAGGCAGTCAAATTCCACGTGACCGTTTAGTCACGGTAATTAGGCTTTTCCAAGCTCTGATGCTGCTGATGGTCATAAGTAGCCTACCAAACTTGCGAACTGCCTCGTACTCAGAAATCTATTGTCCGTCTAATCACTCTGACATCAATGCAAATGTAGTCAAATCTAATCAAACACTTCATGAGAGCCCATGAGCTGATGTTGCGCAACATTTCTATAGGTTATGCAATTGCGTGAGAAGATGGCCTCTATTAAAAAGAGGATCCCATCAGCTTTCTATAGGCTAGGCCTACTGTATTTATTTCTCAACTTTCCTAATATTAAGCACATTGCTTCTCTTTACAACAGGATTATAGTCCTAGCTGGCTGGCATGAAAATTAACCATGGGAAAAGCGTCCTCCATTCGCTATTTAAGTGCATAGATGACGTATTTTTTCCCCTGCCCATTTTGAGACATGATAATGGTCAATTCAAAATAAAATACAAAATCTCACATATTATTTAGTAAATATAAAGACTAGATTAAATCAAGAATAGTCTGATGGGTGACTATTAGCCTATCACTTGTGAATGATACCCAGCATAAGGCAAGAAACAGCCTTTTTTTGCGACTTTTTTGAATCATAGTCGCACACCTCATGTAGCCTAGCCCATAGGCCTATATGTTTTGATAAGGTTTGTATCACATCTAAATTGACCAAATAACTTCTTAAAATTAAGCGCATTATCTGCTTTACAAGGGGTATAGAGACTAACTGGCATACATAAGCAGCGTGTGAGTTTCAAGTTTGGGGAAGATAATTTTCACCATAAAAATGCACCTTTATAATAAAATCATTACATGCATAATCGCATTTGCGGTTACTTATGATTATGGTGTTTTCCCGCTAATGGAACATTCATGCTTATAGCCTACTGCTGTGTGCGCATTGCGATTATGCATGTAATGCTTTTATTATAATGTGAAGAAGTGGTCTAATAGTTTAAGCTAATATGCACCTTGGAATTGGATAAGGACGCGCGCAGTTGCGTCCCCGATGTGTCAGTCTTCACTTGTAGCTTGTGAGAAAGACCCAATCACGTGATGGAGAGCCATGTGAGTGAGAAGGTGCTTCAGAGCACGCAGCACTCAGGGAGAATGGAATTATAATTATTATATTTAGCACAATGGTCACTGGCTGCAAAAGGCATGGATGTTCTTAGGGTGCATTACAGCCAGACAAAGGGGATGCTGCTTGGAAATTTGAGGCATTATCAACTGCTTGTCAAATTGTGAATGAGAGACTGATGAAGTGTGTACAGCCGGTGCAAAAAAAACAAAGCAGAGCTCATGCCTTTTCAAGCGACTTTTTTCAAATCATCATTAGTCGCATCATGCAGCCTTACAATGTATTAAAAATACAAACGTATACAGTGCCTTCGGAAAGTATTCAGAACCCTTTACTTTTTCCACATTTTGTTAGGTCACAGCCTTATTCTAAAATGTATTAAATCGTTTTTTTCCCTGATCATTTTTCAAAGGAGTAGAAAAGTGTGCGCGCAAGCCTTTGGATTGATATTCTCAGAGGTGTCACGTGTGAAATGGAATTTCCATTGTTTAAACTTTGTAGCACTCAAACCTCTCACTGCTCTCTCACCTCATAGCCGATGGACATCCTATCTGACACCCAATGTGTGCCCCCCCCCCCGAGACTGATATTGTGCGGCCTCATGTGAAGCACCTCTTATCGCATTGAAAGACCAGTGTGTGCAGCTATTGAGTGTCTGAGCCGTTTGTGCGCGTGCGTGATCAAGACCTCACTCTTACCCCGTCCCAGCCTGTCATCAGAACAGGCCCAATACACAGCTAGGATAATGTGTTTAAGACAAATTAGTTTCTTAATACTTGTGTTCCTTCCTTCCTCTTTTCCATTTCTGCTGTCATAAGAACAGCCTCTGAGAAACGGTGACCAGCGTAGCAGCAAATTAGGAGCCCTTGAAGGAATTTACGTTGCTTTTAATTATAACTGATGCCATTTTTGCTCAAATCGAGTGTAAGGAGAATGGGGTTTATTCAAATCAATCAAGCATGGGCATCTGTGCTTGAGGCTTTTTAAAAAAGCCCATAATGACTAGTGATGGGGGGGGGGGGGGGTGGATATAGTAGAGTATTTTGACGATATTATATTGACTCCCAAGTATCGAGTTGCTAGGTGCTTAATGTTAGTGAAAACTGCTCTAAAACGCAGTTTTTTTGTCCTAAAGCTTGTTCTCCATCTTCTTTTTAAATGGTGAGCCAACACGTTTTCAGCACTTATTTCCATGACTGATCAACACTATTTTTTTCATGGCTCTCTCTTGTTCCCCTGCAGCAGACATATACAGTGCATTCGGAAAGTATTCAGACCCCTTCACTTTTTCCACATTCAGAGACTTGTCCCGAAGCCACTCCTTCGTTGTCTTGGCTGTGTGCTTAGGGTCATTGTCCTGTGGAAGGTGAACCTTCGCCCCAGTCTGAGGTTCTGAGCGCTCTGGAGCAGGTTTTCATCAAGGATCTCTCTTTACTTTGCTCCGTTCATCTTTCCCTCAATCCTGACTAGTCTCCCAGTCCCCACAGCATGATGCTGCCACCACTATGCTTCACCGTAGGGATGGTATTGGCCAGGTGATGAGCGGTGCCTGGTCTCCTCCAGACGTGACACTTGGCATTCAGGCCAAAGAGTTCAATCTTGGTTTCATCAACCAGATAATCTTGTTTCTCATGGTCTGAGAGTCTTAGGTGCCTTTTGGCAAACTCCAAGCGGGCTGTCATGTGCCTTTTTTTACTGAGGAGTGGCTTCCGTCTGGCCACTCTACCATAAAGGCCTGATCGGTGGAGTGCTGCAGAGATGGTTGTCCTTCTGGAAGGTTCTCCCATCTCCACAGAGGAACTCTAGAGCTCTGTCAGAGTGACCATCGGGTTCTTGGTCACCTCCCTGACCAAGGCCCTTCTCCCCCGATTGCTTAGTTTGGCCGGGCGGCCAGCTCTAGTTAGAGTCTTGGTTGTTCCAAACTTATTCCATTGAAGAATGATGGAGGCCACTGTGTTCTTGGACCTTCAATGCTGCAGACATTTTTTGGTACCCTTCCCCAGATCTGTGCCTCTATACAATCCTGTCTCGGAGCTCTACGGACAATTCCTTCGACCTCATGGCTTGGTTTTTGATCTGACATGCACTGTCAACTGTGGGACCTTATATAGACAGGTGTGTGCCTTTTCAAATCATGTCCAATCAATTGAATTTACCACAGGTGGACTCCACAATCAAGTTGTAGAAACATCTCAAGGATGATCAATGGAAACAGGATGCACCTGAGGTCAGTTTCGAGTCTCAGGGCAAAGGGTCTGAATACTTATGTAAATAAGGTATTTCAGTTTTGTATTTGTAATACATATGAATTTTTTTTATAAAAACCATTTTTGGCTTTGTCATTATTGGGTATTGTGTGTAGATTGATGAGGGGAAAATGTATTTAATCCATTTTAGAATAAGGTTGTAACGTAACAATGTGGAAAAAGTGAAGGGGTCTGAATACTTTCCAAATGCACTGTAGTGAACAATATGTTTGGAACGTCAATTCTCAGCCTTAATATTGACAATCAGTAGGCTAATGGTTGTGTTTTTGCAAGGTTTTCTGCAGTTGGGTAATGGACAACTGTTTTTCCCCATATGGTTATATTTCTGGTATGCTCTCAGAATGTGATGATATTTTAGCTACTTGAGCATCAAACCTTACAGGCTCTGGCAGAAGGGTTGCTGGTTGGTTAGATGTCCTGATGTGCGACCCTCTGTTCCCGTGTGTGTGTCGGTATGTGTGTGTGCATTTTACCCTCTGTATGTGTGTGATACCTTCTGTGTGGGTGTATGTCCTGATGTGTGACCCTCTGTTGCTGTGTGTTTTGGCAGGGATTGAACATCAGGCCCCGGAATAATGCCCAGCTGGGGCGGGACGGCGTGCGGAGGAAAGACTGGCACGACTACGAGGCAATCAGGAGAGACGCTGCTCGCTCTGGTAGGATAGAACTTCAGGAAGTCCCTCCCCCATATTCCCTTTTAGTTTGAGGTTTGAAGCCCAAGACTAATATACTACGATAACAAATGATTCCTCACAATACATTTCTATGCGTGTAGGAACATGAGTTTTTCGAAGTGTGATTGTAGCACAAAGCCATTAAAACTGATGTGCTCGACAGACTGCAAGACATATCCAAGTTCCTTATGGTTCATTCAGCAGGTACTGTACTTCAGACTGACGATATTTTACCTGACGTTAAGTCCAGATACTTTCACGGTCTGTCAGAGAGAAAAGCAGATGGATGGCGCAAGGCATTTTGTCCCAAGTCTTCCTCAGACAGCATTGTTACACTCATGTCTGTTCTGTTCTCTCTCTGTGTGTGTGTGTGTGTGTGTGTGTGTGTGTGTGTAGGTAACGGCGAGCAAGGGAAGCCCTTTCCGCTGACCGACGCTGACCGGGTGGACCAGGCCTACAGGGAGAATGGGTTCAACATCTACGTCAGCGATAGGATCTCCCTCAATCGCTCTGTCGCAGACATCCGGCACCCAAAGTGAGTGTGTGTCTGTTTCTCTTTTAAATTACACCACTTGTCAACAAACACATTCCTCCCAAAGGATAAGTATATTTGTTTCACATGCTCCTGATGATGCATAAGTAAAATACCTGTGAGCATTAGGTGGAAGGTGTTTTTCTCCTAATAGCATTGTCATTTGTATTTCATTCCTATTTGAAGATGTAGCTACTTTCCTTATAAGCCAATGGGACAATGCTTTAGCTTTAATCATGCATTTAGCTTTCTTTCAAATCACTGTTGTGTCGGTGCCATGGATCCTCTGCTTATACTAAATAGTGGGAAAACTGGTCTATCTCTGACACATGAGCACAGTTTTTTCCCAGAGGACATACTTGTCTGACTATGCACCTCTTCCCTACTTACTCTCTCTCCTCTCCAAACTCTGTCATTTTTCTCTTCATGTCCTTTACAAAGAAAGGAGCTGTCAATTGGGACCTTGAGTTGCCTTTACCTTCACAACGCAGCAGGAGTCCAACCTTCCATTCCTCTTTGCGTTGTTCACAGTGACAATCTTTTCAGTTTAGACCCTTCGAATTATTTTGCATCTACAGTATCTCACAAAAGTGAGTACACCCCTCACATTTTTGTAAATATTTGAGTATAACTTTTTATGTGACAACACTGAAGAAATGACACTTTGCTACAATGTAAAGTAGTGAGTGTACAGCTTGTATAACAGTGTAAATTTGCTGTCCCCTCAAAATAACTCAACACACAGCCATTACTGTCTAAACCGCTGGCAACAAAAGTGAGTACACCCCTAAGTGAAAATGTCCAAATTGGGCCCAATTAGCCATTTTCCCTCCCCGGTGTCATGTGACTCGTTAGTGTTACAAGGTCTCAGGTGTGAATGGGGAGCAGGTGTGTTAAATTTGGTGTCATCGCTCTCACACTCCCTCATACTGGTCACTGGAAGTTCAACATGGCACCTCATGGCAAAGAACTCTCTGAGGATCTGAAAAAAAGAATTGTTGCTCTAAATAGATGGCCTGGGCTATAAGAAGATTGCCAAGACCCTGAAACTGAGCTGCAGCACGGTGGCCAAGACCATACAGCGGTTTAACAGGACAGGTTCCACTCAGAACAGGCCTCGCCATGGTCGACCAAAGAAGTTGAGTGCACGTGCTCAGCGTCATATCCAGAGGTTGTCTTTGGGAAATAGACGTATGAGTGCTACCAGCATTGCTGCAGAGGTTGAAGGGGTGGGGGTCAGCCTGTCAGTGCTCAGACCATACACCGCACACTGCATCAAATTGGTCTGCATGGCTGTCGTCCCAGAAGGAAGCCTCTTCTAAAGATGATGCACAAGAAAGCCCGCAAACAGTTTGCTGAAGACAAGCAGACTAAGGACATGGATTACTGGAACCATGTCCTGTGGTCTGATGAGACCAAGATACACTTATTTGGTTCAGATGGTGTCAAGCGTGTGTGGCGGCAACCAGGTGAGGAGTACAAAGACAAGTGTGTCTTGCCTACAGTCAAGCATGGTGGTGGGAGTGTCATGGTCTGGGGCTGCATGAGTGCTGCCGGCACTGGGGAGCTACAGTTCATTGAGGGAGCCATGAATGCCAACATGTACTGTGACATACTGAAGCAGAGCATGATCCCCTCCCTTCGGAGACTGGGCCGCAAGGCAGTATTCCAACATGATAACGACCCCAAACACACCTCCAAGACGACCACTGCCTTGCTAAAGAAGCTGAGGGTAAAGGTGATGGACTGGCCAAGCATGTGTCCAGACCTAAACCCTATTGAGCATCTGTGGGGCATCCTCAAACGGAAGGTGGAGGAGTGCAACGTCTCTAACATCCACCAGCTCCGTGATGTCGTCATGGAGGAGTGGAAGAGGACTCCAGTGGCAACCTGTGAAGCTCTGGTGAACTCCATGCCCAAGAGGGTTAAGGCAGTGCTGGAAAATGATGGTGGCCACAAAATATTGACACTTTGGGCCCAATTTGGACATTTTCACTTAGGGGTGTACTCACTTTTGTTGCCAGCGGTTTAGACATTAATGGCTGTGTGTTGGGTTATTTTGAGGGGACAGCAAATTTACACTGTTATACAAGCTGTACACTCACTAATTAACATTGTAGCAAAGTGTCATTTCTTCAGTGTTGTCACATGAAAAGATATACTCAAATATTTACAAAAATGTGAGGGGTGTACTCACTTTCGTGAGATACTGTATATCTGAGTGTGTTCTACGAGTGTTCTATGTCTATGAGGACAGTTACAAAACCCTAACCAATACTCTGACCTTCTATTCCCCAGCTATGCTTTCAGTGGGGAATCAATTGTGACCGACCGGCTCGATTCGGTCTTGTGGCAAAATTTGAAATTGTGTTTTTTTACATGGGATAAAACTAGTGACTTGGAGCTAGAAAATTGTATATCATACACTACAGTTGAAGAACAATGGGAAAGTAATTCCGCTTTGAAAATTGATCAACTTGTAACCCCACTTCTGATATAATGGGCCTTGAATGTTTTTGTACATGTACTGGAGAGCTGCTCTTTGTCTACACCCATTCAGCTTGTTCACTCCCGCTTAAGCCCCACCCATCTTTTTAAGGATTCACATGCATGACATCAGAAGCCTGGTGGTCCAAAATAGCATAACTGGTGTATTTTAACACCAATAAACCCAACCTGCAATGAAAATGACTTTCTGACAGAATTAGAAACGTATAATATCTGAAAATGTTGCTAGCTAGACTCTTACCTGTATACATGGATGAACGCTTCTCCCTCTGTCACGGATGCCATGGTTGCCCTTAGTTTGAAGATGTCATCCGTAGACAGGTGTTTTATACAACAGCCTTCTGTATGTTCTCTTTTCGACTCCCTCCGCATATTTGCAATCACCTCCCAGAATTTTCTCCATCTTCTTAGCTATCATACTCTGCTTCTACTGATTTCAAAACTCTCCAGAAAGTGGAGAGCAACACTTTTGTAGTTATTTGTGATAGCTTTAAAAAAAACTGTGTTAAAGGATTACCAACACATACTGAGCAGCCCTTTGTTATAGACAGAAGCTTGCTTACATGGCAGACCAATCGGAACTCCTCTCTCGGCATGACCAGCCCAACCATTATCTCAGCCAATCATGGCTAGAGGGAAGGTTCCTGTCTTTTTCCGTGGCTAAACCAACTAGGCTCGTAATTTAACAATTTATTCGTATTTACAGATGGCATACAAGTTTGTTATTAAGACACATGAAAGTTCACATGTTCCAGAAGGCAAAAACACATTTTGATAAAAATGTTCACGTTCAAATCCCTCTCCTGTGAAGAAGTGAGGCGCGACATTTGCCTAGTTTCCTGAAATGAGTCACAATTTCCTTCCACTTATCTTGTTGCTGTGTATCATTACAACATGTTATAAAATATGAACCACCACCACATCTTTTGGCCCCTTTCTGTATACACCTGAATCAGCTGACGTCGATGTGAGCAGTTAAAGATGCAGTCTGGGGATCTTAAGCACAACAAATTCCTAACATTGTTTGAGTTGGATTCGTAACATATCATACAAATTGGATGACATAGTACACAAAAACGGGGACCGGTTTTGGCTCATAAGCACCACTTAAAAAAGTACTTCTTGAAATTATACAAAAGTTCCGGACTTCACTTTAAATGTAGGCATATTTTTAATTTTTTTTTATTTAACCAGGGAAGCTAGTTGAGAACAAGTTCTCATTTACAACTGCGACCTGGCCAAGATAAAGCAAAGCAGTGTGATTAAAAACAATAAACAAAACGTACAGTCAATAACACAATAGAAAATCTATATACAGTGTGTCTGGAAAATCTATATAATGTGAGTCTGGAAGGAGAGTTTACGGTCTAACCAGACACCTAGGTATTTGTAGTTGTCCACATATTCTAAATCAGACCCGCCGAGAGTAGTGATTCTAGTCGGGCGGGTGCAAGCAGCGTTCGATTGAAGATGCATGAATTTGGTTTTACTAGCGCTTAGTAGCAGTTGGAGGCCACGGAAGGAGTGTTGTATGGCATTGAAGCTCGTTTGGAGGTTTGTTAACAGTGTCCAATGAAGGGCCAGATGTATACAAAATGGTGTCGTCTGCGTAGAGGTGGATCTGAGAGTCACCAGCAGCAAGAGCGACATCATTGATATACACAGAGAATAGAGTCGGCCCGAGAATTGAACCCTGTGGCACCCCCATAGACTGCCAGAGGTCCAGACAACAGGCCCTCCGATTTGAATCATTGAACTCTATCTGAGAAGTAGTAGGTGAACCAGGCGAGGCAGTCATTTGAGAAACCAAGTCTATTTAGTCTGTCATTAAGAATGCGGTGATTGACAGAGTCAAAAGCCTTGGCCAGGTCGATGAAGACGGCTACACAGTACTGTCTTTTATCGATCGCGTTATTATATAGTTTAGGACCTTGAGCGTGGCTGAGGTGCACCCATGACCAGCTTGGAAACCAGATTGCATAGCGGAGAAGGTACGGTGGGATTCGAAATGGTCGGTGATCTGTTTGTTAACTTGGCTTTCAAATACTTTCGAAAGGCAGGGCAGGATAGATATATGTCTGTAACAGTTTGGATCTAGAGCATCACCCCCTTTGAAGAGGAGGATGACCGCGGCAGCTTTCCAATCTCTGGGGATCTCAGACGATACGAAAGAGAGGTTGAACAGGCTAGTAATAGGGGTTGCGACAATTTCGGCTGCTAATTTTAGAAATAAAGGGTCCAGATTGTCTAGCCCAGCTGATTTGTAGGGGTCCAGATTGTGCAGCTCTTTCAGGACATCAGCTATCTGAATTTGGGTGAAGTTAAAGCGGGGGGGGCATGGGCAAGTTGCAGCGGAGGGTGCAGAGCTGGTGGCCAGGGTAGGGGTAGCCAGGTGGAAAGCATGGCCAGCCGTAGCAAAATGCTTATTAAAATTCTCGATTATCGTAGATTTATCGGTGGTGACAGTGTTTCCTAGCCTCAGTGCAGTGGGTAGCTGGGAGGAGATGCTCTAATTCTCCATGGACTTTAGTGTCCCAAAACTTTTTGGAGTTAGTGCTACAGGATGCAAATTTCTGTTTGAAAAAGCTAGCCTTTGCTTTCCTAACTGATTGTATATTGGTTCCTGACTTCCCTGAAAAGTTGCATATCGCGGTCCTTGGTCCTGTAACTGTATATACAGTGCATTTGGGAAAGTATTCGGACCACTTGACTTTTTCCACATTTTGTTACGTTACAGCCTTATTCTAAAATGGATTACATTGTTTTTTCCCCTCATCAATCTACACACAATACCCCATAATGACAAAGCAAAAACAGGTTTTTAGTTTGCACATTTATGAAAAATAAATAAAAATGAAATCATATTTTACCCTTTACTCAGTACTTTGTTGAAGCACCTTTGGCAGCAATTACAGCCTTGAGTCTTATTGGGTATGACGCTACAAGCTTGGCACACCTGTATTTGCGGATTTTCTCCCATTCTTCTATGCAGATCCTCTCAAGCTCTGTCAGGTTGGATGGGGAGCGTCGCTGCACAGCTATTTTCAGGTCTCCAGAGATGTTCGATCGGGTTCAAGTCTGGCCTCTGGCTGGGCCACTCAAGGACATTCAGAGACTTGTCCCGAAGCCACTCCTGCGTTGTCTTGGCTGTGTGCTTAGGGTTGTTGTCCTGTGGAAGGTGAACCTTCACCCCAGTCTGAGGTCCTGAGCGCTCACCGTAGGGATGGCGCCAGGTTTCCTCCAGACGAGACGCTTGGCATTCAGGCCAAAGAGTTCATTCTTGGTTTCATCAGACCAGAGAATCTTGTTTCTCATGGTCTGAGAGTCCTGTAGGTGCCTTTTGGCAAATTCCAAGCGGGGGGTCATGTGCCTTTTACTGAGGAGTTGCTTCCGTCTGGCCACTCTACCATAAAGGCCTGATTGGTGGAGTGCTGCAGAGATGGTTGTCCTTCTGGAAGGTTCTCCCATCTCCACAGAGGAACTCTGTAGCTCTGTCAGAGTAACTGTTGGGTTCTTGGTCACCATCATGACAAAGACCCTTCTCTCCCGATTGCTCAGTTTGGCCGGGCGGCCAGCTCTAGGGAGAGTCTTGGTGGTTCCAAACCTCTTCCATTTAAGAATGATGGAGGCCACTGTGTTCTTGGGGACCTTCAATGCTGCAGACATTTTTTGGTACCCTTCCCCAGATCTGTGCCTCGACACAATCCTGTCTCGGAGCTCTACGGTCATTCCTTTGACCTCATGGCTTGGTTTTTGCTCTGACATGCACTGTCAACTGTGGGACCTTATATAGACAGGTGTGTGCCTTTCCAAATCATGTCCAATCAATCAAATTTACCACAGGTAGACTCCAATCAAGTGGGAGAAACATCTCAAGGATGATTAATGGAAACAGGATGCACCTGAGCTCAATTTCGAGTCTCATAGCAAAGTGTCTGAATACTTTGCAAAAATGTCATTATGGGGTATTGTGTGTAGATTGATGAGAATAAAAAATAATTTATCAATTTTTGAATGAGGCTGCAACGTAACAAAATGTGGGAAAAGTCCAGGGGTCTGAATAAGTTCCAAAATGCACTGTATAATGAATTGGCACTGCCAGTAGAGAATAGCATGTTCCCTAAGCTGTTCCAGGGTGTTGTATGAAGACGTCTGGGTCTTAGTATTCAGGTTCTTCTGATTTCCTCTGGATACATTTCCCCTATCTTCTGTTCAGTTAGTAGAGCCTCTGAGGAACAGGCTGCTGCCTGCTCAGTGCTCTAACAGTCTCTAGCAGTCTCCCTTGGAGCAGCCAATTTATGTTCCAACAGCCATGGAAAGCACAGGTTGGCTGCATGGGTCCCTTTTTTTTCACCTTTATTTAACCAGGTAAGACAGTTGAGAACAAGTTCTCATTTACAACTGCGACCTGGCCAAGATAAAGCAAAGCAGTGCGATAAAAACAACAACACAGAGTTACATATGGGGTAAAACAAAACAAAGTCAAAAATACAGAAAAATATATATACAGTGTGTGCAAATGTAGCAAGTTATGGAGGTAAGGTAATAAATAGGCTATAGTGCAAAATAATTACAATTAGTATTAACACTGGAATGATAGATGTGCAAGAGATGATGTGCAAATAGAGATACTGGGGTGCAAATGAGCAAAATAAATAACAATATGGGGATGAGGTAGTTGGGTGGGCTAATTTCAGATGGGCTGTGTACAGGTGCAGTGATCGGTAAGGTGCTCTGACAACTGATGCTTAAAGTTAGTGAGGGAGATAAGAGTCTCCAGCTTCAGAGATTTTTGCAATTCGTTCCAGTCATTGGCAGCAGAGAACTGGAAGGAATGGCGGCCAAAGGAGGTGTTGGCTTTGGGGATGACCAGTGAGTTATACCTGCTGGAGCGCATACTACGGGTGGGTGTTGCTATGGAGACCAATGAGCTAAGATAAGGCGGGGATTTGCCTAGCAGTGATTTATAGATGGCCTGGAGCCAGTGGGTTTGGCGACGAATATGTAGTGAGGACCAGCCAACAAGAGCGTACAGGTCACAGTGGTGGGTAGTATATGGGGCTTTGGTGACAAAACAGATGGCACTGTGATAGACTACATCCAATTTGCTGAGTAGAGTGTTGGAGGCTATTTTGTAAATTACATCGCCAAAGTCAAGGATCGGTAGGATAGTCAGTTTTATGAGGGCATGTTTGGCAGCATGAGTGAAGGAGGCTTTGTTGCGAAATAGGAAGCCGATTCTAGATTTAACTTTGGATTGAAGATTCTTAATGTGAGTCTGGAAGGAGAGTTTACAGTCTAACCAGACACCTAGGTATTTGTAGTTGTCCACATACTCTAGGTCAGACCCGTCGAGAGTAGTGATTCTAGTCGGGTGGGCGGGTGCCAGCAGCGTTCGATTGAAGAGCATGCATTTCGTTTTACTAGTGTTTAAGAGCAGTTGGAGGCTACTGAAGGAGTGTTGTATGACATTGAAGCTCGTTTGGAGGCTTGTTAACACAGTGTCCAATGAAGGGCCAGATGTATACAAAATGGTGTCGTCTGCGTAGAGGTGGATCTGAGAGCCACCAGCAGCAAGAGCGACATCATTGATATACACAGAGAAAAGAGTCGGCCCAAGAATTGAACCCTGTGGCACCCCCATAGAGACTGCCATAGGTCCCTTAACTCCCTCTGATCTGCCTAATTTGTTTAATAACATGTAAAGAAGCATCAGCTTGCTGCTGGCCCGCCGTCACTGTCACTCTTCCGGACTCTGTGGCTGGCGTCTCCCTTTTCCTTTCTTTTTCTTCTCTTTTCTACTCCCTCGCTTAATCCTTTGTAGCACAGCTAAGGTGCCTGCGTAGTCTGGTTAGGGAGTAATTAGTTCTCTCTCGCTCTTTCGCTCTCTCTCAGCTCTGTCTGTCCAAGTGAAAAAGTGAGGGATGATGAAGAGGAGGCTGTTGCAGAAGCTTGGCCTTCCAACGGCTGAAGTGACACCCGGCTGTCACAGGCCCTGTCATTCTGTGTCAGTTAGACCAATCAGCCGGCCACATCTGCTCTTCTATACCCAATCGGTATCTGCCCTGGAGGCCCGCAGCCGCCTGGTGATTGGCATGTTGTCACCGCCAGAGGCGTGGAGCGGATATCTGATCTTGACACTTTCGATTTGTTGATGTTTGCGCTGCGACAGAATTCCAATGAAGGAAGCCACATAATTCCACAGGGTGTAATACAATGCCAGGAAATGTGGGTGGGTTGGAAATTGGTTTGAGCAACACAGTCTGTCTCAGTTGTCTCCTATGTTTTACGACAAATTAGATTTGGGCTAGTGCTCTGCTCTAGCACTCATGAACCAGGGAGTGGCGGTGCTCATTCTGCCCCATCAAAGCTCTTTCATTATCTGCTATGATTACTTCAATATACAGTAGGAATCATATGATATAATATCGTAATACGCTTACTGTGTATCATGGCGTCTGGTGACAATTATGGGTCATGAATACTAGGCCTACATCATAATACTAAAGTATGTCGGTCATAAAGCATCTGAGTAGGAATGCTGATCTAGGATCAGTTCCCATCTGTCCATATGTTGTTCATTATGATCTTAAATCAGATCAAAATAAACTTTATTTCAAAGTGCTTAGCAAATAGAATAATACAATTTGAGAAAGATAAAAACACTTTCTATACCATATACAATTTAAATAGACAAGAATAAAATTAAGACTCCAATTAAAATGGTAAAACAATAGTAAAATAAAAAATGGACGAGGAGGCTATTGCATAAAAATACAAAATATAAATAAGATATACTATATATACTGAACAAAAATATGAACACAACATGTAAAGTGAAATAAAAGATCCCAGTAATTTTCCATACGCACAAAAAGATTATCTCAAATTTTGCGCACAAATTTGTTTACATCCCTGTTAATGAGCATTTCTCCTTTGCCAAAATAATCAATCCACCTGACAGGTGTGGCATATCAAGAAGCTGATTAAACTGCATGATCATTGCACAGGTGCACATTGTGCTGGGGGGCAATAAAAGGCCAATCTAAAATGTGCAGTTTTGTCACACAACACAATGCCACAAATGTCTCAAGTTTGAGGGAGCGTGCAATTGGCATGCTGACTGCAGGAATGTCCACCAGAGCTGTTGCCAGATAATTGAATGTTAATTTCTGTACCATAAGCCGCCTCAATGTCGTTTTAGAGAATTTGGCAGTACGTCCAACCGGCCTCACACCCGCAGACCACGCGTAACCACCCCAGCCCAGGACCTCCACATCCGGCTTCTTCACCTGCGGGATCGTCTAAGACCAGCCACCCGGACAGCTGATTAAAACTGGGTTTGCACAACCGAAGAATATCTGAACAAACTGTCAGAAACCGTCTCAGGGAAGCTGATCAGCGTGCTTGTTGTCCTCACCAGGGTCTTGACTGCAGTTCGGCGTCGTAACCGACTTCAGTGGGCAAATGCTGATTTTCGATGGCCACTGGCATAGTGGGCTCTTCACAGATGAATCCTGGTTTCAACTGTACCGGGCAGATGGCAGACAGCGTGTATGGCGTCATGTGGGCAAGCGTTTTTGCTGATGTCATCGTTGTGAACAGTGTGTCCCATGGTGGCAGTGGGGTTATGGTATGGCAGGCAGGCATAAGCTACGAACAATGAACACAATTGCAGTCTATCGATGGCAATTTGAATGCACAGAGATACCGTGATGAGATCCTGAGGTCCATTGTCATGCCGTTCATCCGCAGCCATCACCTCATGTTTCGGCATAATGCACAGCCCCATGTCGCAAGGATCTGTACACAATTCCTGGAAGCTGAAAATGTCCCAGTTCTTCCATGGCCTGCATACTCACCAGACGTATCACCCATTGAGCATGTTTGGGATGTTCAGGATCGACGTGTACGGCAGCGTGTTCCAGTTCCCTCCAATTACCAGCAACTTCGCACAGTCATTGAAGAGGAGTGGGACAACCTTCCACAGGCCACAGTCAATAGCCTGATCAACTCTAAGCGAAGGAGATGTGTTGCGCTGCATGAGGCAAATGGTGGTCACACCAGATACTGACTGGTTTTCTGATCCACACCTAGGGCTGTTATGGTGACCATATTACCGCCACACCGGCGGTCACGAGTCATGATGGCAGTCGAATTCCACGTCACCATTTTAGTCACGGTAATTAGGCTTTTCCCAGCTCTGATGCTGCTGATAGTCATTAGTAGCCTACAAAACGTGCTAACTGCCTGGTACTCAGCACTCTATTGTCCCTCTAATCACTCTGACATCAATGCCGTGAGTGTGCAAAACTGTCATCAAGGCAAAGGGTGGCTATTTTGAAGAATTTCAAATATAAAATATATTTTGATTTATTAAACACTTTTTTGGTTACTACATGACGTGTTATTTCATAGTTTTGATGTCTTCACTATTCTACAATGTAGAAAATAGTAAAAAATAAATAAGAACCCTTGAATGAGTAGGTGTGTCCAAACTTTTGACAGGTACTGTATATTATTTAGTATATGTAAAGACAAGATTAAATCAATAGTCTGATGGGTGACAATATTAGCCTATCACTTGTGAATGATGCCCAGCTTGTGTGCAGTAAGACAAACACATGCCTTTTTTCTTGTGACTTTTTCAAATCATAGTCGCGCACCTCATGTAGCCTAGCGCATAGGCCTATATGTTTTGATCGCAACTAAAGTGGCCAAATAACTTATTCAAATTTAAGCACATTATTCAGCTTTACAACAGGTTTAGAGCCTAACTGGCATACATACGCAGCATGTGAGTTTCAAGTTTGGGGAAGATAATTTTCACCATAATAAAAGCATAGCATGCGTAATCGCATTTGCAGTCACTTTTGAGAATGGTGTTTTCCCACTAATGTAACATTCGCGCTTATAGCCTACTGTGCGCATTGCTGCGCTTATAATTTTAAAGAAATAACCTAATTGTCACGCCCTGACTCAGGGGACGCTTAAATGTTGAGTCAGGGTGTGTATATTCTTTGTTGTGCGTTTTCTATGTTGTATATTCTAGTATATGTGGATCTATGTTGGCCGGTGTGGTTCCCAATCAGAGGCAGCTGTCGCTCGTTGTCGCTGATTGTGCCAATAGGCTGCTTAAGTATGGTCCCCAGTCTAGTTGTGGGATCTTGTTCCGTGTAAGGTATGTTGTGTGTGCTACCTTGGACTTCACGTTTCGTTTCTTGTTTTGTCGTGGTGTTTATTCAGTGAAAATAAACATGTATGCATATCACGCTGCGCCTTGGTCTGTCCCGTCATTCAACGAACGTGACAGAAGATCCCACCAAACGAGGACCAAGCAGCGTGCCCAGGCGGAGCGAAGGGCCATGTCACAGGTGGGCAAGTTGTGGTCATGGGAAGAGATATTTGTGGGGAAAGGACCATGGGCTAAGGTAGATGCCCAGGCAGGAGAGGAGCAACGGCAACACGGAGGAGGCCGGTCGAGGAGGAAGCCCAAGAGACAGCCCCAAGAAAAAATTTTGGGGGGGCACACGGGGTGGTTGGCGGAGCCTAGGGTTAGAGCAGAGCCAACTCCCCGCACTCACGCGAGAAGGCGTATGACTGGGCAAGCTCCGTGTTATGCGGAGCTACGTACTGTGTCGCCAGTGCGCCGGCACAGTCCTGTACGTCCTGTGCTTGCACCACGCACGTGCCGTGCGAAGATGGGCATCCAGCCAGGACGGGGTGTGGCCGGCTCAACGCTCCTGGTCTCCAGTACGCCTCCTCGGTCCCGCATATCCTGCACCAGTTCTACGAGCTGTATCGCCAGTGCGCGTGCACAGCCCAGTGCGTCCTGTGCCAGCGCCCCGCACGTGTAGTGCGAAAGTGGGCAGCCAGCCAGGACGGGTTGTGCCAGCTCTCCGCTCCAGACCTCCAGTCCGCCTTCGCAGTCCGGTCCGGCCCGTTCCTGCTCATCGCACCAAGCCAGTGGTGCGCGTCGCCAGCCCGGCCCGGCCCGTTCCTGCTCCTCGCACCAAGCCAGTGGTGCGCGTCGCCAGTCCGGCTCGGCCTGTTCCTGCTTCTCGCACCAAGCCAGTGGTGCGCGTCGCCAGCCCGGCCCGGCCCGTTCCTGTCCCTCGCACCAAGCCAGTGGTGCACGTCGCCAGTCCGGCTCGGCCTGTTCCTGCTCCTCGCACCAAGCCAGTGGTGCGCGTCGCCAGCCCGGCCCGTTCCTGTCCCTCGCACCAAGCCAGTGGTGCGTTTGTCCTGTCTGGCACGGCCCGTGCCCGTTCCACCGGGGCCTGGTCCGGCACCGGTCAGCTGCTCCACTCCGGAGCCAGAGCAGTCCGCTCCACCGGTGCCTGATCCAGTGCCGGTCAGCTGTTCCACTCCGGAGCCAGAGCAGTCCGCTCCACCGGTGCCTGATCCAGCTCCGGTCAGCTGCTCCACTCCGGAGCCAGAGCAGTCCGCTCCACCGGGGTCAGTCCAGCTCCGGTCAGCGGCTCCAGTCCAGACCATAACGTCAGCCCCTCTCCAGGTTCGGGGTCTCCCACACCAGGGTCCAGACAGGGCCTGGCGTATCGTGGGAGGAAGGAGAGGGGAAGTAGCGCGCCGAGGTCCAGACCAGACCAGGGGCGCAACAGGGAGGCGGAGAGTGAGAGGTCGTCACGCCCCGAGCCGGATCCGCCTCTGAGCCGGATCCTCCTCTGAGCCGGATCCTCCTCCGAGGCGGAATGCCCACCCGTCCCCTACCCTGTTATGTTTATGTTGTGCGGTCGGAGTCCGCACCTTTGGGGGGGGGGGGGGGGGATACTGTCACGCCCTGACTCAGGGGACGCTTAAATGTTGAGTCAGGGTGTGTATATTCTTTGTTGTGCGTTTTCTATGTTGTATATTCTAGTATGTGTGGATCTATGTTGGCCGGTGTGGTTCCCAATCAGAGGCAGCTGTCGCTCATTGTCTCTGATTGGGGACCATACTTAAGCAGCCTATTGGCACTGTAGTTGTGGGATCTTGTTCCGTGTAAGGTATGTTGTGTGTGCTACCTTGGACTTCACGTTTCGTTTCTTGTTTTGTCGTGGTGTTTATTCAGTGAAAATAAACATGTATGCATATCACGCTGCGCCTTGGTCTGTCCCGTCATTCAACGAATGTGACACTAATAGTTTATCAACATTTTAAGCTAAACGTTCTGATCTGTTGTGTCAACCTCATTGCTTAAAAACGTTTTTTTGATGCTAGTGGTATTCATTTGGAATCTATCCCATCCCACAACTGTCCCAGACTATGTTTGGAATATTTTTTTCTCGCACTGAATAGAATAGGTCAACATTTTTTGTACTATGGGGATAGATTGAATTATAATTATTATATTCAGCCCAAGGGCACAACAGCCACTGGCCGCAAAAGGCATGGATATTTTTAGGGGGCATTATGGCCACACACAGGGGATGCCGCCAGGAAATTCGAGGCATTAGCAAGTGCTTGTCAAATTGTGAATGCGAGACTGATGAAGTGTGTACAGCCTGCGCAAAAAGCGAAGCAAAGCTTATGCCTTTTCAAGCGACTTTTTCCAAATCATCATTAGTCGCATCATGCAGCCTTAGAATGTATTAAAAATCAAAACATATAGCCCATCATTTGTATCACAACTAAAATTACATAAATAACTCTAAGTTAAGCATATAGTACCTGTTTTCTTTAACTGCTCAACACAGAAATGCGCACTCTCTCAAATCGTTTGGAGAAAATAATATCGATTCTATTTCATTCAGCTATGTTCAATTGTATTCTTCATACTATAAAATAATACCATGGAATTCTAAGCAAATCTTGTCTGCTAAATTAACTAGTGTAGACCACAGCCATATGGCATAGCCAGATCAGGGCCTAACATAAGGACAACTCAGAGTATGCTGTTCTGTTCTTCTGAAATAGACTACATTTTCTTCATATCATGTTTCTTTAGACCTGTCTAAAATAAATAATGTTTTTTTTTGTGATGGTGTTGGCTATATTACATGGATTTATTAGACATTTTAAAATGTAGATGTTCCAAAGGTCTGCATCAGTGGCTTGTAGGCTATGCGTGGAAGACAGGAGATGCTAAATGTGTTTATTTTAATTAATGGTAAATTACCGTGAGACCGGCAGTTATTTGTTTGACAATCACCGGCTGACAAAATTTCATGACCGCCACAGCCCTATCCACGGCCCTACCTTAAAAAAAAGTTATGTGACCAACAGATGCATATCTATGTTCCCTGTCATGTGAAATACATAGATTAGGGCGTAATGAATTTATTAAAATCTTTGAAGTTGTTGCGTCTTATATTTTAGTTCACTGTAGAATGGAACAAAATAAATAAAATTGATAGTATTACTAAAATCACCCTTAGTAAAACCATGGCTAAAATTGTGTTTTTAAGCTTTTTCTTAAAAATGTCTACAGTTTCTGAGGCCCTCAGATCCTCTAGCACGCCTGAAAGCAGCCTCACCAAACGTAAAAACTGAAATGTATCTACAGCCGAAAATAACTTTTGGATATTAGATTGGTGGTCACTCACCAGAAATTAAAGCAGAAATTCAACTTTCTTGACCTGGATCCTTTGTTTGAACTTCCCAAAGCAGCGCTATTCATCTGCACTAAAACGCAGACGCCGGAGAAGAGGAAGAAGCGGGGCCATAGTCCGACTCAGGCAGTGTGTATACCATTCACCGCTTCCAAATATTACTCGCCCGTTTTCAGTCCCTGGACAATAAAGTAAATGAGTTTAGGGCGAGGATCTCCTTCCAGAGAGACATCAGGGACTGTAACATTATCTGTTTTACGCTGTCATGGCTCTTTCCGGATATATTATCCCTGTACATTTAGCCAGATGGGTTCTCCATCCATTGCGTGCACAGGAAGAAAGAACTCCCTTGGAAAAATAAAGGCGGAAGGGTTTGTTTCATGATTAACAACTCATGGTGTGATTGTGTTAACGTGCAGGAACTCAAGTCCTTTTGTTCTCCCAATCTGGAATACCTCACCATCAAATGCCGACCAACTTAACTATTGAGAGAATTTTCTTCTGTCATCATCACTGCTGTGTATATTCCACCCCCTAAGCCGACACCGTAACAGCTCTCAAGGAACTACACTGGACTATGGGCAAACTGGAAACCGCATATCTTGAGACCGCATTTATTGTAGCTGGCGACTTCAATAAAGGAAATCTGAGGAACACTACCGAAATTCTATAAACACATCTCTTGTGCTACACGCACATCATGGGCCCTGGATCATTGCTACTCTCACTTCTGGGATGGATACAAGGCCCTCCCCCGCCCTCCATTTGGCAAATCAGATCACGCCTCCATTCTGCTCCTCCCCACCCATAGGCAGAAACTTCAACAGGAAGCACCCGTGGTAAGGACTGTTCAACGTTGGTCTGACCAATCGGAATCTATGCTTCAACATTGTTTTGCGGACTGGGAAATGTTCTGGGTCGCCTCTGAGAATAGAATCGACATACACAGACTCATTGACTGGGTTCGTCAGGAAGTGCATAGAAGATGTTCCCACTGTGACGATTAGAACTTATCCAAACAAAGCCGTGGATAGATGGCAGCATTCGCGCAAAACTGAAAGCTAGGAACATGGACGTGTACAAACAGACCAGCTATGACCTCCGTAAGTGTTACGCCCCTGAAAAAGGGGAGAAATAATCACGAGATTGATGCAGTTGTTTCCTCACTGAAAACTTTAGTATAATGCTTTTACAAAAATACCACATTTTACAGAACAACAGATCTACAGGAACCAGAGTTTTGTAGGGTACAAAGCTTATTCAAGTCACAACAGCATAAACTGTAATTCACTAAAACATATACAAATGTTTCAATATAACTGTCAAACACAAAGTAGCTTTAGCTCAGTAACCCATAACTACATTTATCAACCATGTCAACAAAGTATTCGAAACACATTATACAAATAACCCCAAATATATTATTAACAGCGCACATGTTCATTCACAATTAGCATAAAATGGCAGCTACTCTCAGTACGAAGCTAATCTTCGCTGCAACCAAGCAGATTTCACTCACACACGCACCTAATAACTCTCTTCAACTTAACTCTAACTTACTCAAGATGTTACTAACACATACCTTAAACTCTCTTGACATGTTAGCAAGTTATTACATTCAGATTAACTCGTTTTATATCAATAACGTACCTGAAAAAGGGGAGAAATAATCACGAGAGTGATGCAGTTGTTTCCTCACTGAAAACTTTAGTATAATGAGGAAAAAAGACTGCGATTTCCCCAGAAAGTTGGGTGGAGACCAGAGCAATCGATCTCAGGCTCATAGATTAAGAGCATTTAGTAGATCACAGATTAACACTTTTACCCTTAAATTAGGCACCACAAAGTAAAGTAGTCAATATAACGTTTACACATTCCTCTTACAATATTTACCCTTTTACACTTGACGGATTTTAACACATTTATGAATTTTATCAATCTCTATGAACTAGTACTGGATGCATGATCTTTTTAACCTTAGATATTTTAAGATCCTTACATACCATGAACTTACTAATACTTTTTAGTGTATAACAGGCTATGAATATGTCCTTTAACCTGTCACATAAGGCTATCACCTGGACGAGAAATACCTATGTCAGAATGCTGTTCATTGACTACAGATCAGCCTTCAACACCATAGTGCCCTTCAAGCTCGTCACTGATGCTCGGGGCCCTGGGTGTGAACCCCTCCCTGTGCAACCGGGTTCGGGACTTCCTGACGGGCCGAACCCCAAGTTGTGAAGGTAGGCAACAACACGTGCTCAGCCTCCTCCTGTCCTCCCTGTTCACGCACGTCTCCAAGTCAATCATCAAGTTTGCTGACGACACAACAGTGGTAGGCCTGATTACCAACAATGATGAGACGGCCTACAGGGAAGAGGTGAGAGCCCTGGCGGAGTGGTGCCAGGAAAGTAACCTCTCCCTCAACGTCAACAAAACGAAGGAGCTGATTGTGGACTTCAGGAGACAGCCGAGAGAGCACGTCCCCATCTACAGCAACGGGCCGCAATGGAGTGGGTCAAAAGCTTCAAGTTCCTTGGCGTGCACATCATTGAACACCTGAAATGGTCCCTTCACACAGACGATGTGGTGAAGAAAGCCTAACAGCGCCTGGTATGGCAATTGCACCGTCAGCCCAATGCATCACCGGCGACATACTGCCTGCCCTCCAGGACGTCTACAGCACCCAGTGTCACAGGAAGGCCAAGAAGATCATCAAGGACCTCAGCCACCCTAGCCATGGCCTGTTCACCCCGCTACCATCTAGAAGATGGAGACAGTACAGGTGCATCAAAGCTGGGACCAAAAGACTGATAAACAGCCTCTATCTCCAGGCCATCAGACTGTTAAACTGTCAACACTAGCCTGCCTTCGCCCAGTACCCTGCCCTGAACCTTAGTCACTGTTACTAGCCGGCTACCACCCGGTACTCTACCCTGCACCTTAAATTATGCTGCCCTATGTACATAGTCATTGAACACTGGTCACTTTAATAATGTTGCATACAGGTTTTACACACTTTATATGTATATACTGTATTCTAGTCATGGCTCATCCTATATAACTACTTCTGTACATATTTTCTATTCACATACTGTCTATACACACCAGTATTTATTTATTTATTTAATAACATTGCTCGTTCTGATGTTTTTTTATTTCTTTACATTTAGGGGGATTATGTGTGTGTTGATTTGTATTGCTGGATATTACTGCACTTTTGGAGCTAGAAACACAAGCATTTCGCTGCATCTGCGATTAACATCTGCAAATCTGTGTAAGCAACCAATAAACTTTGATTTGATCCTAGATCAGCAATCATACTCTGAGGAACTATGAACACCAGCTCTGCTTTGTAGTCTCTCTATTCACTTTTTGGCAGTTGCTGTTGTTGCCTTATTTATTTAGTTGCCTGTTTGTGTGTTTAGCTGTAAACAGAAGCTGTATGCAGAGAAGTTGCCCAACACCAGCATCATCATACCGTTCCACAACGAGGGCTGGTCGTCCCTGCTCAGGACTGTACACAGCGTGCTCAACCGCTCCCCCCCTGAGCTCATTGCTGAGGTCATACTGGTGGACGACTTCAGCGACAAAGGTACGCTGAGACATGCATGGATCTACACCCACACACACAGGAACACACTGCGCTGACTTACTAACTGGCACTGGCATGCAAGGAATCTCAACTGGATACACACACACAATTTTTATTTTTTTTAATGTTCCCTCAGTGTACAAGTGACTCATTTGTTTACCATTGTGTTTGCTGAGGGCTGTCCCGCGGTCATTTATTAACGAGGCCCAAACCCAGACTGCAGCTCTAGAGCCTCCGTCAGCAGCTGAGCTCTCTTCCCAGCCCCTCTCAGCCCAGCCTTCACCACGCAGTGTTTAATTAATCTTTAATTAGCTCCTGCAGCCTCTGACACCCCAGCCTCATTGACGGATGTGTTTTCCATCTCCGTCACCGCTTAAGGAAATAATTGTTCAGTGCCTTTAAGGTAGGAGCAAACGATGGAATGACGTTGGACAAGTCACTGGTCCTCTTTTTTTAGTTTTTATAAGTAATGTTCTTCAAAACCATTACCGTTTTCATTGAAATTACTAGAAATATTTTTATATACAGTACCGGTATATCTTTTTTACATATAGGGACAGTTGAGACAAGATGGGAAAGGTAGGAGGAGGATTCAAACCCATGCTGACTCGCATATTAAACGTGTGCCGGGGTCAGTCAGCGGCTCTAACCGCTGGAACACACAGGCCACTAATTACTGGAAATCTTATACAGATCTTTTTTTTTATGTCATTGAGGGGACGAAGCACCTGAATCAGCCTCTGGTTACATGTGGAAGGATTAAAACCAGCAGTACTGCTGACTGGACATTGAAGACTAGTATTTGAGTAGGCCTGTTTAAGAAGAATCCTACAGTCTGTGTGGTTTGTATTCCCAAACATGGTTTAATCAGTTTGAACTATGGAGTCAATGCACGACTCTGAACTGTTACATAATGAATAGGAGGTGTATAAATTCCTGCCCACACTTTCTCCCAGAATATTTAATAATGCACTCTGGCTAAATAGAAGATAGACTATTAAGCATGTCTTTGTTATAGGGGAGCAGAATACGTCAGGCCATCATGTGATCTACACACTGCATTGCAAAGTACAAAGATGGTAAATGCTATAGGTCACATACTAGAGACTTTAGTGTGGGGTTGCATAGAGCCTACAGTGCTGCTGGACCACGCACACCGTACTGTATAGGTCCTTCTGGCACAGAGCTGTGGACGAGTCATATTTGCTCAGGGAAAATGAACAAATGGTTATGCCAATGCTGTCCAGGGTCTGATTCATATTCGGTCCTCTTTAAAAACAAAAAATGGCCTATAATCCATCCAGGTCCTGTGCCAGCCCTGGGTGACTCATTTGCAGCAGTGAGGCCACGGCATTCTCTCTACGCCTCCTCCCACCACCAAGTGAAACCACCCGATTTTAGTAATTTGGTGGTGATTAGCCATGGTTTTGGTTACAATGGGCTTTTGCTGGTCATAGGAAATATGGAAAACAATGTAATAATATTGATGAAACATGGTAGATAGGTGTTTGTAATCATTAACAAACCTCCCGGTAGCTATGGTAATTATACCCTAGTGTACATATCAGTACACAACAAACTGCTGCGTCATCTGCTATATGTTTTCAGGCTTTTGTATCATAAGCAATGTTTGATCATTTGTATTCGTCTTTTTACCTGTCAGCTTCATTTTGTATTATTCAACCAACATTTTCTCTTCCACTTCAGTAAGTCACTGCAAAGTCCGTTTTTTGTTGTTGGACTTTTCAGTATAACTTCCATTCAGCCTATGTTTTCCGTATCGAACCGTTTCCCTCGCCCCATCACAACACCTTCAATTTGAGCATAGTGCAGAGAGCATAAACTCATGAATATGTTCTGCTCTCTGTGTTCCAGACCGACTAAACCATCTGTCTTTCAGTGAATTTAAGAAAATGTAGGATCACAGGATTCATGATGATGATGATGCATTGCATTTTCACATGACATTGGCAATACCAAATTATTCGTCAATACCAAATTATTCGTCAGTGCACGGTAGGTGCATATGGAATTGATGTACAGTATTTGTCTGAGTGGTTCAAATGAAGAGGTCTTTGAACAACATGGGCCTCCGAGGTACAAATCAGCAAGTTGCTGTGATCAACAAACCTGTTCATTATTTATAGTTTATCAGTTTTTTCCTTTTGTGTAAGAAGAGGCCTGTACATCTACTCACTGTGCCTGCTGTAGGAACACAGATAGTTCCCCTTCATTTACCATCATCATCAACATCTCAGAAGAGCCATGCAGAGTACTTTACAGCCAGACTAATTTTCAGATTCCGTTCAGCCTGTTCTTAATGTCTCCAATCTCCCTTCCATTACTATTCCCATTATGCTGGTATTCAGGTGGGGTGTTGTCTCTTTTAAGAGATGACAGTGTCTCAGAGAACATGAGAATCACCCTGGGCTCATCAGCTCCAGTTTTAGTCTTCTCTTTTAGAAAAGTCTGTGCTCAGACAGACTTTGCAATCAGGGACAGATGACAGGCCGTCAGATGGGGCTGGACACCAGCACTAAAATATGCGGTGCACTAAAGCAATTATCGTCAGATGCCAAATTAAGCACTTTGTCAGACAAAGCCAGGTCAACTTTGGATGCTTTTAAGCTGCTTGTTTTTACTCGTATGCCAATTGTTGCCTTTGTGATACATTTACAGTGCATTCGGAAAGTATTCAGACCCCTTGACTTCTTCCACATTTTGTTACGTTACAGCCTTATTCTAAAATGGATTAAATAGTTTTTTCCTTCATCAATCTACACACAATACCCCATAATGACAAAGCAAAAACTGTTGTTTAGAAATGTTTGCAGATGTATTAAAAATAAATAACTTAAATCACATTTACATAAGTATTAAGACCCATTACTCAGTACTTTTGTTGAAGCACCTTTTGCAGCGATTACAGCCTCAAGTCTTCTTGGGTATGACGCTACAAGCTTGGCACACCTGTATTTGGGGAGTTTCTCCCATTTTTCTCTGCAGATCCTCTCAAGCTTTGTCAGGTTGGATGGGGAGCGTCGCTGCACAGCTATTTTCAGGTCTCTCCAGAGATGTTCGATCGGGTTCAAGTCCGGCCTCTGGCTGGGCCACTCAAGGACATTCAGAGACTTGTCCCGAAGCCACTCCTGTGTTGTCTTGGCTGTGTGCTTAGGGTCGTTGTCCTGTTGGAAGGTGAACCTTCTCCCCAGTCTGAGGTCCTGAGCGCTATGGAGCAGGTTTTCATCAAGGATCTCTCTGTACTTTGCTCTGTTCATATTTCCCTCGATCCTGACTAGTCTCCCAGTCCCTGCCCCTGAAAAACATCCCCACAGCATGATGCTGCCACCACCATGCTTCACCGTAGATATGGTGCCAGGTTTCCTCCAGATGTGACACTTGGCATTCAGGCCAAAGAGTTACATCTGGGTTTCATCAGACCAGAGAGTCTTGTTTCTCATGGTCTGAGAGTCCTTTAGGTGCCTTTTGGCAAACTCCAAGCAGGCTGTCATGTGCCTTTTTACTGAAGAGTGGCTTCCGCCTGGAAGAAAACCAGTAGGGCACCTGCCTTAAGAACCCAGAGACAGGTCATCAAGCAAGAGCTGGACAGCTACACTCTGAGGATGGCAGCAGACAGTGAGGCTGATCCTTTGGAGTGGTGGCGAGTTCATGCATCCAACTTCCCACAATTGAGTTGTCAGACAAAGAAATACTTATGCATCCCTGCCACAAGTTCGCCCTCTGGGAGAGCATTTAGCACTGGGGGCAATGTGGTCACATGCCACAGGGCAACTTTGAAGCCAGAAACTGTCAATAGGCTGGTGTTCCTGGCACGGAACTTGTGAAGAGGGAGGCAGTGAATTGTTACATGCGGAACTGAGAAACATACAGACTGTCTGGTTAATGTTTGAAGTTAATTTGAAAAGGTTTACAACTTGAATTCATAATGACTGGTGTTATGCTGAAAAAAGACTGCACTTAAATATTTATTTAACTCATACGCCTTTGTTTATGTTTCATGTTTGCACAGGTTTACCACAGAAGTAAAACAAATAATAATTTAAAAAATGTGCAATGCCCCCTTTCTGTTTCTATAAGGTTAAAAGCAATATTTAGTCATTTATTAACTTTGAAGGGCTCATAAAATGTTAAAACATTGTTTTACAGTATATCGTGATATTATATCGTTATCATCCGGACAGTGGAAAATATTGTGATATGAATGTTTGTTCATATCGCCCACCCCTAGCTGTAAGGTAACAAAGTGGAAAAAGTCAGGTGGTCTGAATACTTTCCAAATGCACTGTATTGACTTATTTTCTCACACTAGTATGACACAGCCTAGCATGCTCTTCATTCCGATTGCATGTTGTGGAAACAAGTAGTCCACACAGTCCCCTCTCATCCCACTTCTCCCTCTCTCTATCAGGCTCATCTCCCCTCTCTCTCCTGTCTGTCTGTCTCTGCCACCCAGGGCCTTTGGTCCCTGACAACCTGGCATTAGAGCCCTGTGCTTGAGCTCCGTGCCCACCGTTGTCAAGCAGCGTTGGTCACTGAGCACAAGTGATTTCACGGTGCAGACAGGACAGCGCTCAGCACAGGAGGTTGTTCTGCCTGTCAGAGCCTATGCAGTATGTTGTCTAGTGGGTTGTTGGGGCCATACAGAGAGGATGACAGACAACGCTAAGGGCTCTGCCCAAAATCTTTCTGTGTGAGGTCGATCAGCTGTTCAACTGTCCCATATTGCATCATCATCTGCTTTTGTAGGGATCAGATTCGCAAAGCTCCTTAATCTACGCTTCATGGCTCAGATAGCGCTCAGGGTTTTACTTTCTCTCACAATTTCACACATTTTAAACTGTTGCTCCACTTGTCGTCATCCCCCGCAGCTCCTGTCAGAAAGGTGGGCTTGGCTTTTTCTCCAGGTTGACATAGCCACCAGGCAGGGCAGACTACTGCATTTGGGGCCCCTAGGCACCTAACTCCAGGCCCCCCCCCC